GGGCGGTTTAAATTTGCGGGGGCGGGGGCGGGGAACGTAAAACCCGCCCCCACCCCGCCCCGTTGCCATGCCTATTCCCAAGAATCATGAAAATTTGTTTGGTTGGTCATATATATTTCTGGGAATGTTTATAAATGTTACCTAAGAATCAAAGATTTTTACTATGTTAAATAAACAAATAAAGGTAACATGAAGTTTTTATCCCATTAAAACTTTTTTTTACCTTTGGAAAGTTAGTTTCTCACCTTGGGAATCATGATTCATGAAAATCATAAATCTTAGGAATCATGATTCCCAAGAATTATGGAAATTTGTTTGGTTGGTCATAAATATTTCTGGGAATGTTTATAAATGTTACCAAGAATCAAGGATTTTTACTATGTTAAACAAGCAAATAAAGGTAATGTGATGTTTTTATCCCTTTAAAACTTTTCCTTTTACCTTGGAAAAGTTAGTCTCTCACCTTCCCCATAAGAATATTTTTGTGGAAAACATATGCAAAACCACTCGTGAGAAACATGTTTCTTAGGAATGCTATTTTTTAAATAACAAACCAAACACCAAAAACTAACATTCTCAACGTCAAATCCTTGAGAAAGTAAAAAATTTTAGTGTACCAAACGCTCCTTTAATGTCATATTTGGTTTCTAAGATTTATGTCATAAATCCAACATCTGGTTGTAGAACCATAATTTTCATGTTATCAAAAGATCATGTCTTGATGCATATAAAATATTCCATTTACTAACAAAACTTCAAGATTGACTATACGAATCCACTTTCTACATGGCACTTCTTACTTTGGAAACGAATTTTTGAAGTTATGTTGGTCTATTATGAGTTGACCAGATAGTTTCCTTTTTCCCAAAATTGAGCATATATCGCATCAAGAATTGTAGCCTCACAGATTCACCAAAAACATTAAGTATTACAAATATACGTGACATCACAGATTCTAGCCCAATTGTCATCAAATTTAAGTGACATGCATAATATATTGAACTTTGATTATTTGAATATAACTTACCTCCGAAGGACCAAATAAACAGACTTTAAAGTTTCCATCAGCTAGTAGTCGCAATCTATTGCAACCGGCACAAAAATGCTCAGTCATTGATGTGATAAATGAAACTCTGCCTTCATGCCCCTCTATTGTGAAATTCTTGGCTGTATCTGTAGGGTGATCCTGAACTCTTTTTAAGCTTGTAAACTGTTTCATCTGTTTGATAATGATGGTTATAAAGGGTCTCTATTATAAGAGAATAAAACTAAAGTTAGGTGTCCAGTCTGAATTCTACCTTACCACTGTATCCAACATTTCTGAGTAGGGTACAAGTTTCTTGACATTCCAAACATTTCCATCAAAAGGCATGAACTCTATAAACCGAACATCAATTGGCTTTTCACGCGTCAACTCAACAAATTCACAGATTTCATCATCATTGAATCCACGCATTACAACACAATTGACCTAAAATGCAACAGAAACATAAAAGACACCTTAAAATTCATCCCTTCGTGACATGTGAAATTTACCGTAGAGGTTATGAACCCTTATACAAGAAAAATTTCCTTTCTGTATGATTCATTTGAATAACTTAGTGAATTTGGAAAATGGGTAGTTGCTCGTGGGGAGGTGACCAAAGAGAAACATTAGTACAAAGTAATGATACAAGACCAAAAAATACCTTGACTGGATTCAATCCAAGGTCTATGGCAGCATTAATTGAATCCATTACTTTTCCATGCCCTTGGCGTCTCGTCATAAACTCAAACTTCGCTGGTATCAGTGTGTCTAAACTAATGTTGACAGAAGTAAGCCCACATTTTTTCAGCTTTGGTAATTTTCTTGCTAGCGCTATACCATTAGTAGTCATTGACAATGTCTTCAGCCCTTTCAAGTTTGACAATTCCAAACATATGTCTTCAATATCCTTTCTAACAGTTGGCTCCCCACCTGTCAAACGTATTTTATTTACCCCAGAGCTTACAAACAGATTTGCCAATCGCAGAATCTCAGCCTTTGTTAAAAGTTGAGGGCTTGGAGTGAGTTCAACACCATCTGCTGGCATACAATACTGACACCTTAAATTGCACCTCTCTGTTAAAGATATTCTCAAGTAAGTGTGAAGCCTTCCAAATGAATCTACTAACATATCAGAGACAGAATTATCCTTTTGATGATCTTCAGACAATGAAGCACAAGATGTTGTTGCAAAAGCTCTAGCAGAATATTCATTCAAGTTGCCACTGAACCCAGCTTGATGATTAGCACTTCTGGCAGTACAGTAGGAACCCATCTCACAATTCAACTGCTTTAAGAAAATTAGTGTCACAAGACAACCACATTTTCATGAACAAAATTTGAACATATACCAATATTCTTGCACATAATCCCTAAACAAAAAACAATTCCCTTCCAGTATTCATATTGTAAATACTCAATTGGTATTACAAAGGCACAATTAAATGATTGGTTTTTGCATTTTCTCGATAGAACTGGGGGACTACAAGTTAATAACTGAGTTTAAACACATCTCAACAGCACCACCCTCCAGATTAAAACACACAGAACGAATCACTATAAAAAAAAACAATTAAATTCCCCTTAGATTTGCAATACAAAGACAAAGGTAAAAGAGTAAACAAATTATTTGTTTTTCCTTTTCAATTGACACTGACATGAACGACAGGGGGGAAATGTGTGCAAAAAAGGAAAACGTAATCACAGTGAATAGTTTATTTTAATCAAAGAAAGTCACCTTGAATAAAGAGGGGTTGATAAATTAATCTTGCACCGTTAGATTAAAAAGAAACAAAGGGCTGGGATGGGGAGTAACTTAAAAGAGTTACTCCTGAAGTTATTTGATCTTCCCTATATATATATATTACTACACCATTGAAAACTCAAGTTCAACCACATCAGGAATAAATTACTACTGATAAAAAGAGAGTAATGAGTACATATGTTATCCGGTTTAATGTGTATCAGATTTAATTAAGACTCTACATGAAAACATTATGTGGCATAACATATGGGTGTAAATCAGTAAAAACGAAAACAAAAATATAAAGCAAACAGAACCAAACTAGAATGTGAAGGAGCGGATCCAAATTGATATGTGACTGAGTGGGTAAGGAAATAACGAATGCCTACCCTGGAAAAAGCCAATAGTTGCATCATAAAAAACTGCAAGACTTGAGACAACTTAACAGAACACATGCTGCATGGTGCTCTTCAATGCTCCCCTCCTCTGAATCTTTATCCACATTTTTGTTTCATGGGAATTAAAATTAAAATGTTTTACAAATGAAATTCACCATGATTTGTGCGGACGATTGATGTCATTAAATTGAAAAATCTCTAGCAACTCCACAAAGAAATAGAAACTCATTATCTAATTAGAAACGCCAGTATGATAGTGTCAGACTCTTTTCAACACATTACATGTCAAGGGAATTATATGTAGGTCCCATTAAACAGAGAGTAAACTCTGGTTATTTACTGAAATCTACTTTAAGTTTACCCAATAATAAAAAGTGCACCTAGCCTCCCTCCATTGTGCTTAATTCAATGTCAGGCTAAACCTCAGAATCCACTCTGTTTAATTCAATCCCAGTGGCCCAACCTTAAAATCCTATAATCTTAGCGCAAACACGTTTTCATAATATACTAATTTGCGAAACTAATTTGCACTCGCGGGATGTGACTTCTGTTAGCCAAACTTAATTTTTAACACGGAGGGAAATCAAACTTAGGAACACCAAGTCGACCCCCATATTCCAGAACAGGCCTTACAGTTATTGGACCAAGAAGCTTGGCTAAGCACTTAAGCATAAACCACTTTGAAATCAAAAATAAATATAAAAATAAAAAAAATAACAAAGTTGAGAATAAATAATTCCTGAAATTTACTAGCAACACCGTCATCAGTTAAAACATAGCATCAAATAACATTCACTGAACACTTTCATCAAGCACCAAAGACGCAATGATAAGGGTAGAGCAAGAGCATACAGTGTTACTGGAGCCCGGAGTTTGGAGCCATCTAACTGAATTCGCTAGATTAGATTGTTGACCCTGTCATAAAAAAAGTAATAAATCAAAATCAGCAAGCTACACAATCAATCACACACAAACAAACATTCAAATTAAACAGTTCGCGCGTTATTCTCAATTACCGCACGAGAGCGAAGTCGAGAAAGTGCGGAAACACTTCTGAAGAAAGCCATTTGCACCAACGCAACAACCTGTATCAGCTCGTCAGCGTTAGCGAATCGAAAGAAATCGAAACATGCTAGTTAGGGTTCGAATCGAAAGAAGAGCGTACCAGTAGAAGGTAAAAGAAATAGAGAAGAAAGATCACGAATTCAGTAAAAGGAATACCTGAGATCGGTCTCCGCAATTAAATACTCAATTTGTATATATGGAAAACGGAAAAAGTTGAGAATTCCGTTTCAAAATCTCATATCTCTCAGTCTCGAACCCACTTCTCCCACGTGTGATGAAATTTCTATTCAGCCTCCTCGCTTTTGACATCAAGAAGCAAAAGTGAAACCGCAACCGCAACTGCATCATCATCAACCTTCTTGTCTTTTATTGCGTGGAAATGAGAGAAGATAAGAACATAAAGAATAAGAATATTCACAATCTGGCATTCAAATTCCAATCCTTAGTGTATTACCTCCGGTTACACCGGTAAAGTTATTGAGTGGCGTAATACTTAGTAAAAGTTACACCGGTGTCATTTGAACCCTCCTCATATATATATGAGGAGAAATCCTTTTACTCCAAGAGTAAGTCTATCTAGACTTACTCTGTTCAATAACTCATGTTCTACATCAAATTTTAATAATCCAACCGTTTAATTTAAAATTCTTAATACATAGATCAAATCTGTAAATTTTTAAAAAATTTAAAACTCATTTGATACTTCATTTCATCAATTCAAATTGATGGATAATCATAAAATCGTTTTATACATTGATTCGAATTAATGAAATGAAGTATCAAATGATTTACAAAATTCACAATTAATATAAAATTATTGAGCGATGTAATACTTAGTAAAAGTTATACCGGTATAATTATAACCCATATATATATATATATATATATATATATATGTATATAATTTAATACTA